TTCCATTCCGTTTGTCAACTGAAACGCTGACACCCCTGTACATCAAAATACAAGAATCTATATTTTTCGTTGAATATATGTCATAATTACCTTAAGCTCTCAGGAGCTTGTATTTCGACAAACTTATTTATATATATAAATGGTGAGACATTGTAACAGTGTAAAGGCAAAAAACAAATTTTATCATAAGATACCTAAGTTGGAAGGATTAGGATAAAGAGGCTAAATAATCATGCTGAACAAAATTTGGCACTAAAACCACTTACTACGTAAAACTTAAAAACCAGTCCAGAGGGCAGGTGATTGGGACAGCCCCTACCTAACAGCAATATGGATACTGCTGTACATTTTTTTAAATTAATTTATTTGTTACCTTGAGCACGGGTTTGGTAGTTGTTAATATTAAAAGACGTTTTTAGTATTGATGCTGCTCGTGACACCAGTGATGTATTTTTCGCTTACCTTAAAGCGTCATTGTCCAAAGAGAAGAATAGTACGAATTGAAAAGTGTGAATTGCCTACAGCTTGTGTCAAAAGTCAAACCTCTCACGTTCTTTCTCGTCACCTGGACGTTTGTAAATTAGTACAGCTGGTCTCGCAGACGCTTAAACTATGTACACAATATATATACAGTTATACCACAGTATTGTATTGTCTCCGTATGGCTACGAATGCGTTCCAGGTCAGGTAATAGAGCATCGAATGTATGAAATTAATAAATCATTTGTTTAAAATTACAAGTCATCATTTCCATGAAATTATCCAAATAAATAAGATCTGGTTTAGTATTGTTTAATGTACCTCGTATCAACAGCTATACATGGTCATTTTAGGACAGCCTCTCCCATTTGCGAGATGCATGCGTGTGGTGGGGGTGTGCATAATTAATTTGTGTTTTGGGAGTCTGTGGTATGTTCATGTTTGTCTCCTTGTGATAGCGCAGATCTGATGCTGACTTTATAGTGTAATTTCACTTGAGCATACTGCTGAAGACACACTTATTTTACAATCGAACCTCGTTATCTCACCATCTTCAATAGCCAAGTGTTCATAATTTAAATTTGTACTATTCAACCTTGGAAGATTTAGCCTTGTGTTTAATTTCCCTCCACTGCCACCTAGCAGAGACACTTTACTAGTAAAACTTTAAACTTTCAAGATTATTTCAGCACTGGTCGCCTATGTATTTCCCTTGGTTATCATTTACAGTTAGAATATGGCCAATTATCTCTACCAACTCATCAAATATAGAAACTGTTTCTTTAAGTAATGTCCTCCTTTGTTGTTTTTTTTACATAAATCATGACATAGTCGACAAGGCAACTTGGTATTAAGCGCCGCCATTAATATTTACACGCACAGGGACTTGGTATTAATTTCTAGCCTACAGTATGTGTATTATATAATGTATGATAAAAAAAAATATGTGGACCATGGGATGGTAATTTGTGCCAAGTCCCTGTGCCAGGTTCAATAATTTGAAAGCTTATAGAACAAGGCTAAATCAAATAAGGTTGAATACATGAATATGTGAATACAAAATGAACGCTTGGTTAGCAAAGATGAGATGTTACAGGCTGGACAGATAATGACATCAAAAACAGGCTGAAAACATGTATGGAGTGTGTTTTTCTTAAGAGAGGCTGTATAAACACATTATAAATATGTAAAATTATGAGTCCATTTTACCCGAATTACCTGACGTTATTTTCAATATCTTCAGTTTATCTGTATTTTCACACTGTATAAGGAATAGGAATCAGTTTGTTTTTTGGGTTTTAAAAATCCTCGCAACCACTTTTTAGTCATATGTATAAGAAATGTCTGCCAAATATCTGATTCCTTGACAACTTTATTAGAAATATGAAGCAGGAATTGAGCTTTCTATTTCCACTTCATATTATTTGTTGACATTTTTCTGCTACAATACATGGAGTTTCCTCAAAAGATGCTGATAACCGAAAAGAGTCTGGAACCTTAATCATATCTTTTAGAATACTGTGTTTAAAAAAAAAAGGTTATACATGAATCTCCTCGATCCACCAAAACATCAACAAACAACATTTAAACCGTTCATTCTCTAAACCTGTGATTAAAAGGATTGTAAAAGAAATATATGCGTTCGCTTAAATGTAAAAAAAAAATCTGTTCAACATTCATATTTACAGTGGTTTACAAATCCACTAATACATAAGTTGACATAAAATTGTACTACAGTATTTTTGGTCTGATTTTGACAGCTGAATAAGTCTCATCAAGGGTCATTGACCTGTCAGAAGTTGAAGTTGAAGTAGCCAAAGTTATTTGACTTTGGTGTAGAAGCATCCTAAAAATGGGCTAAAAATTGGCCCCCTGAAGAATTGGGAATTTTCTTTCATGACTGATACTTCAGGGACAGTGAACACGCCAAAATAGATCTTCTGCCCATTGCAACACACTTGGGATCTTAAATCTTTCCTTTCGTTCTTCACTGTTCTGCCTTTCTGTGCTTTGTTTCTCTACCACTTGCAACATCAATTTACTTAATATGTGGCTTTGTCATAATGGATTACAGTTTGAGTTCGAACCCTGTGTTAATATTCCATTTTTGGCTGTAGTTATGGCCCTTTGCACATAGGTAATTTCAAAATTAACTTTTGTTTTTACTTATTTTCGCTACTGCTTGCCTTATCAATTTGAAACTTTGTTTGTGACTTTATCATAATGGATTACAGAGTTTGAACTATGTATTAATATTCCATTTTTGACTGGAGTTATGGCCCTTTTGCAAATAAGAAATTCTCATAATTAACTGTTTTCCATATTATTTGTGTAAAGTAGATATTGCAAGTGACGGATTACCGATACTCTGAAAAGTTGGACTAAATGCATAGAATTCTTTGTAATTATTATTCAAAACAAAAATACTTGGGATGACACAGTGTTGATAATGAGGATTGATGTTATAAACGTTTAATGTACATTAAGTGTTCTTAATAATAACACGTAAACTAAGTTAGTTAATCCTTTTAATAATGCTAATCGAATTTATGTCACCCGATTATAATTACGCCACACGTTAAGTGTGAACATCTAACATCAAAATATTAAAATCAACAGCAGTATTAACATGCGACATAAACAAACAGTATAGACCGTGAGAATTTAAGATGATCAAGGGGTAAGATATACATTTGTTTTGTTTGGCCGCTAGCAAATATCCAAATACATACAAGAAATATATGCTGGTACCCTTATCAGACTAAAAGAAATCAGTCTGGCCTCTCGCTTGTGTACATTTGCGAATGAGTGTTTTGGAAGAACGTTGCACGTGCATTGTGTGTTGGAAAGTAAGAGATGCATGCGCATGGTCTGTTGTCCCAGAATACATGGTTAATTAAATATGAGAAAGTGTCGATACATCGCCAACTTTGTAGAATTCGTACAGTTACATAAACAGGTTTTATTAGTATAAGTAGCTAATACTCTTAATATAAGTGACATAAACACATAATATAAGTAATGATTGCACGTAACAGAAGCTCGTTTTATTAACTAGTACATGTAACATGATAAAAAAAGATTACACATGTTTTTCGTTAAAGGATTTGATTATGATAATTGATGGAATTTTAATGTGCGCTGTTTTTATTTGAAGGTCAGAGTTACATCTTGAAACAGTAGAGATGAATAACGTTGACCGTGGATTAGTTACCATGTTAACTCTGAGCATCATCATAGCTGGATTTGTACTGGAAAACAAGTTATTACTGATGCACCATGACCACTTATCTATGCACAGCTCTACGCCAGAGCCATCGAGTTCCACATACAAAGATTCAGCGCGGTTGCAACGGGTTGAAAAGGCAATCAATGTTATTCTTACTCAACGGAACTGTCCGTCGTATGTAAACTTGACAAATGTAGCGGATGCTTTGGTCGGAAAATTATCTGGTTTGTTTGATACAACATCGGTGAGAACTATTTGTGATGTACCTAATGATAAAATTCCTATTTTTAATGAGGAACTGGATGACTCCAAGAATCAAGGTAACGACAATTTATGTTTTCAGTGGATATAAACAATGTTTATACTACTGTAATTTATAAGATTGTGTCTACTCTTTCCATAAGGGTTATGTACATGTACACGTACAATGTATTACACTATACGTCATTACAGATTGACTGACAAAGTTGATTGACAAAGTTGATTAACAAAGTTGCCCCCTTTTCGAGCCTTTTTTGTGTTTGCTGGATTATCATATTTCAATTTATTTTCAAAAAGTCGTTTCTGTTAAACCTTGTAAAAAGGACAACAAACAATATAACAGCATTAAAATGACCAAAACATGAGATATAATGATGTTGTGATGATCACCACATTTTATAAAATAACAATACTAAATTCTTCCATTTATTGTGGTGGTTCATTGTGGGTTATGTTCTGTCGTGTTAATGTGAAAGATGATTTCGTGCTAAGCATGTTTTATCGGCGTGTAATGAACAAGTATGAAATTTCGGGTAATCATTATTTAATGTTCAGTTTCTATATTATAGATGACGACAGTTCGGAGACACTCAATGATTGGACAGTGATACCGTGGTTATGTTGGATAGCAGTGTGGATTTATCGTCTCGCCTTGGCATTTGTATTAGGGCTTTGTGTATTTTGCGGATTACCAGAAACCTTCGAACAAAAAGATGGTAAAGGCTTTTGTCAAATAACGGTATTCATAGTTGTATCAAGTGTTGGGTATTTTCCAAACGTGCTGATGGACGTGTGTGGTTCATACTGCACGGCTTGGTACTTTCCACTGTGTATAGGCTTATCCCGTCTGTTATGGATTATGTCTGTCTGCTTTGTTAATACTGGTTTTGACAAGATTGGAATTAAGATTGTCGCGTATGTGGTTGTATCTATTGTGAGTATAATTGTGATGTACAATGGTTTTCATCCAATGATGATAATGACTTGACGAATCTCGCTCATACATCCCGTGCATTGATACATTTGATCTCTCATTGATACAAACATTTTATTTTGGTGTTATGCATTTGTTTCCTTTAGTTATCGTGAGTTAAATGAGTATCTTGTTTTAAAACTAATATTTTAACATTATTGATTACACGGAGTCACATTTTTCACACCAACCTCAATTTGATTCGCTTTAACATCCCTTACGTTCAGTTCTCATACGCCTAGGATAGCCTAGGTACGAAAACATCTCCTTTCAGAAGTCTTTGACATTTGAAATGTCAGTTTTCAAACATACTTTTACGATAGAGAAAATGGGGATACAATAATTAATGGAGGCCACTTGCGGACTTTTGCGAATCTCGAGTTTTACTTTCCACCATAATGTACTAACAATTATGTCTAATCTACCAAGTAAAATGTAATACAAATCTTTTTCGTGTCTTCTTCAGTGCCTGTGATAGCCTAGGTGATCAGGATATAATCTTTTTTTTTTAATTTAGGCTGTTCTTGCGCGCGCGCTAACATTTGTCACGTATTGCCTTTATGTCCTCATTTCACAACAAGCTGCTAATTTTTATCATGTCTGACCCTATGTGCAGTTATCCGATTTTGTGTATTATTCTGGCTATTTCGGAAGCATTTTTGGCTCGACAGACGATATTAAAATTATTACAAACGTCATGCTTTATGCCACATATTTATTTTAATCAATCAAATCCACCAAGCCATCAATCTATCGTCATAGCTCGTCAACACATGAAATCAGCATTTGACAGATATATAAACACTATTTCAAGTCATATTCGCGGTAAGTTAAGCGGAACATTCTGACTGTGAGTTAAACTTGTTTAAATAGATATAGAGACAAGATAAATTTTGTGTTTGTCCGCAAGCAAAACTTCAAATAAAAACAAAATAAAATGCGGGTTCCATAATTTGAAAAATAAACTAAGTAAACCGAATCGCTTGTTTACCTGTACATTTACGGGGAAGGTTTTAGGATGAGCATAGGTCTGTTGGAAAATAATATAAGCACACGCATGTGTAACAAAATGTTCCTTCTTATTGAATAAAAGGAAAAGGTCAGATCTCAAGGTCACTGATTCACCGGACAAATCAGACTGATGGGTGATTTACCATCCTCATCATCGGAGATCAGGGACAATCCTGGTCCCTTGAAATAGGGACTTGCGATACAAGTGACCTGTAGATATCGTCAGATCGTCCACGACTGTAACCTGTAGCCAGGGTACAAGAACTTTTCGGTACCAAAGTAATGTAAACATGGTATCGAACATCGACGGGAATTAATTCTTTTGGGTTTTCCCGATTGACGTCATTATGGATTAATCACTTGTATACAATGTATCTATTGTGCATATATGGTTACGATATATGCGTAGTGGATTAGTAACTATACTGAAGTAAAAGTATGCCTTGTGGATTCGCTGAGTGTAGTGCTATTGAATAATCCCCATTTACATTGACAGTAAATAAATTATGCAGATTAATCACCATGTTATATTGACAGTACTTTCACCTGCAATCAATGGTTTAAGTGGGTTCCTTAGTCATGGATTACTTGCCGTTATATTGACCAGTAACTGCGTCGTTGTGTTGTGAAACAATTACTATATATACTGACAGTGAACTTTAACGGTAAAGTACTGCTTTGCGATATCTATATAAAGATATGTGTGTATTCTATAACCAAGTGTAGGACACTGTGAAGACTTATGGACATGGATGTAATGGTGTTAAACGTGTATCTTTGCTTGCAATTATCGTAATATATTTTGTATTATATGTTGGGAAAATTTGTTAATATTGTTGGCGGTAAAGGTATGTAACAAAATAGGCCGATAATTAGGCAATTAATGATAAAGTTTGGAACCATCTTATATGATGTAAAATAGTGCTTATCAATAGAGAGCAGCACCTTGGTCAAAAGTACATTAGAGGTCAAATCCTATGACATGGGTAACACCGAGCAGAGGCTGACAGGGGGCTGTTTATGGAATTTCATTTCAGTAATAATTACCATAACTTTAGTATGCATATACAATACCTACACCCATCTTTGTAGCCCAAAAACAAAAGATTCAAATATCCCTACCTCCCTACCGTGACGTAACCTCTATCTCGATGACAGAGCCACGGAGTGATCTCCCTTCCTCTTCCTTTTATGGCGCCTGCTGCATGCTGACTCACGGAGCTTGCTCCAATTCAAAACTTTGTTTTGTCTTTTTGGTTTGGTTTGAGTATCAACTCATATTTTTGCGCAGTTTGTGTGCCTTTTACCCATCTGCCTTTATTGATATAACTAATTGTTGTTGAAAATTATTTTTGTGCCTTTTACGGCCGGTTATTTTACTCCACGTGTGCCGGTGGTGTGCCACGGTCCGCCATTATCGTGGGTTAATTTCCGACCTCTGTTTATTTCGGTGACGGTTGTTTGTTTCGGCAAACGTTATTTATTTTAACCGTTTTCTGATTTATATTACGGGTGAAATTCTTTCTACGTTGCGTACTTTGTACTATCGTATTTTATCCTTATTTTCCCGTTTTATCTGCTTGTAAA